TGTGGACTCCGTGCCGCGTGTAGCCGCGCGGCACGGAGTCCACACTAGCAGACATTTAAAAATGGCGGTGCCCGGCGAGATGCAAATGAAGCCCGGGAAATTCAAATCCCGGGCTTCATTTGCAACTCCGGTTGCCTACATTACCACCCTAGTTCGAACTAGGGTGGTAGTGTAGACATACCCTCAGTCTATCTGTGCCTCAGTTCCCCATTTGTAAAATGGGGATCATAGTGCTTCCCTGCCTCAAAGGGGAGCTGTGAGGATAGGATTGTAAGATGCACAGAGGTCAGCCAATTTCAGTGCCACTCAAGCTGGTAGTGAGTGAGGTGACCAAGTCATTATCATCGGATGCCTAGTGAACTGGACTTTAATTCTAGTTTTGAAACCATCTGCAGCTGTTAGTTGTTGAGCTGAGGAGAAAGACTCCATTTCAACCAGCTACAGAGCTGCTTCTTAAGGACCACACGTCTCTGGATGGAGTCTCTGTTTTGATAATATGAAAGCCACCTAAACATAGATCCAGCTACCAGACAGGGGACACCACTAAGAGATTAAGTCGCTCTAGTGCAGGGGTGGGCAATCATTTTTAAAGGGAGGCCACTTCGCAAATTTTTGAAGTGGTCCCGGGTTGCCCTGAAAGGGGTGGTGCCTCAGGCGGAAGGGGTGGGGCCAGAACACTTTCTTGCTCTCCCGCCCACTGACCCTGATTGGTCTGGGGCAAGGGGAAGCATGTGAAGTCTTTGCCCCCCAGCACCTAGAGAGAACCACCAGCTGTTCTGAACAGCTGCTGGTTTATTCTGAGTGCTGCATGCTCCTGGCAGGGGGAGGAGACTTTGTGCACTCCATGCCCAGGTCTTGATTGGCCTGTGGGCGAGAGAGTGGCAGGGCATCCGTGGGCTGGATCAACCTGCTTGGCGGGCTGAATCCAGCCTGCGGAGACTCTCTTGCCCACCCCTGCCCTAGTGGCTAGCTCCATTTGGATAATAACACAGTAGACAGGTGTCCATATCACACAAATCAATCTGGCGGTTAGCACGAATTGCCTGTCCTCTCCCCCATTCTCATTCTCAATAAGAGGGCCAAAGACTGAATGCGTCATTAGATAGCCCTAGGATAGCAAAGCTGATTGGCACAGCAGCCTGTAGGGCACTTACCCAGCCACTGATCGAACTGTCCTTGCTCTGTAGATTAACAGAGGACTGGAATCCACTATCACTCACATGAAAAAAAGACATTTATTTTTCAGGCATATATGTCACAGCCTGGAGAATGGGGCATGTTCTGCAGCATATCCCATCTTTGGGGAATCCCCTCCAATCCCCTTCCCCAGAGCTTTCCCAAGAGTTCATACCCCTGCTCAGCATACAATACAGCCCCTCATTTACTCTGCTCAAGCTTCTTATGCCTGCAGCTGGAAGCTACATTCTCCTTCCAAACCCAGCTGTCTATGTGTCTTGTCTTTTCAGGTGATCTGCAAGGACTGGAGTAACCTGGCAGGAAAAAACTACATAATTCTGAACATGTCTGATAACATTGACTGCGTAAGTCAGACACAAGAGGTCTGAATAGAATGAGAGTAAATGGGTAATAGAATGGGGGTTGGTTTTGCTAAACAGGGCAGCAAAATATTTATGAGTGTGACTGATCTTAGGATTCATAGGACATTTTTTAGGGCCAGCACAAATCCTAGCATCAACACTGTTGTTAAGAAACTGCAGCTCTTGTGTGTTGACTGCAGCTCGGTGTGCATTTTCCATCTTTTTCTTTATCTGAGGTTTAGCAGGAAAGATAGTGGAGTCAAGATGATCCTAGGTTTAGGTATAAATCCACTTTTTAAAAATATAAAATAATTGTCTCTGATCTTCAAAAGGACTTTTAAAAAAGTTTCTGCAAGTTTTGTATGTGCAGCCTTTACTTGTCTGTCTTGTGTCTCAGTCAATGTAACTTAGAAATTGGTGTAGGAAGAATGGGAGTCTTGACTGAGGCCATCCTCCATAGGTTTTAATACTTTGGCACATATGCATCACACTTTCCATTGGGGGATCTCAAAGCTCTTTACTTTCAGACATTCAAGGGACACTTTAAAATTGATTTTTAATTGACAGTGTTTTCAATCCAATTTCCCATAGAGAACCTCCTTTTAAGTACTAAGTAATGCCTGACATTAAAATACATATATTCCTTACATTTTTTAGATTTTTGCCTGCTATTTAGATGGGCCTCTTCAGCGAGTCATTTTTTCTCTTGTTAATTGGCTAAAAAGGAGGATAGTGATATGTCTATTCAATAACATTTTATATGTAATCAAAATAAATTGGAAAGATGTCGCTTTTTGGTCTATTTCAGTTTTAGTGATTTTGTATGTCCATTGTAAATAGATTCAGTATAATAGTTTTGGAGAGAAATTGAATTAAGCTTCTCAACAGTCCTGTGTTGTTAGTCAGCATTACCTCAGTTTTACAGCTAGAGAAACTAAGGCACAGAGTAGTAAAGTGACTTTCTTCAGGACATACAGTGAGTCAGTGATGTGCATTTACCCATTAGCCCATCCTTGCAGAAGGTTAGAGACTGGGTTTATAATACTTAGCTCTGGGTCTGCATTTTTCATTTTCCATAGTTTTTACAAACACTAATGGTCACAACATGCATGGAAGAAGGATAATATTATGCGAAATTTACAGATGTGGAAAGAGTTGGCAGCAAAAGTGTTTTGGCCAGTGTCAGACCTGTACAACCCTGTGCAGATACAAAGTTGGTATTCTCATCCACATCTGCATCTGCAAAATGATCTGTGGCTATGTCCAACCATATCAGTGTACCTGTGGATATAAAGTGGATATCCGCAAATTTGCACGATTCTAGATACAAAATCTGTATCTGCATGCATATCCGCAAAAATGAGCTGTGGATATCCATCTTCACATCCCCGCTGAGGATACCCATGGATATAAAGCAGATATCTGTGGATTTGCAGAGCTCTACAGATTTGGACTGAGACTACAGTAATGCCTTTGTAGAAGTCCAGTGCTCAAACTACTGGCTCATACTTCTCTTACACACTCACACCTTCTAAACCAAGAAACTAAACTCCTAGGTATGTGCTGCACGTGTTTTCTCTTCTACTACTATGCACCAACAAACAAGCATAACTCACAATTGGTAGTGGTGCATGAGGCATCAGGTAGTGAAGTTCACAGAGCAGACTTAATTCTAATAATGTGGCTGGGGCTTTCCAGGAAAGAAAAAAATCCCCAGTTATCAAATCAGGAGGTTTGGCATCACTGAGATCCAGTCAGTTTCACAAAATGTGTTAGTAGTGTCACAGCTTCCATCTCTTGACAGGATGGCTCTGTACACACCTGTCCCAGGCCATAGGGACATGCTGGCAGTGGCATGGAGGTAACCACTGGAAGCCACTCTAGCCACGCTAAATAACTCTGGGGCAGCAGGCTGGGCTGGGGAGATGCACAAGGGAGGGGGAATGCATGGAGATCCCTGTCCCACTCTAGAGCCCTCTTAGAGGCGAGTGCCCACTGGCCCACTAGGAGGATTTAAGGGATGTCACTGGCCTTAAGGTACATTGAGTTTGAGATCCCTGCTATAAATCAACCACTGCTGGTAAAAATACTGCCTAAATCTCCAGGTTGAGGATCTTTAATTTCCACCTGGCTGGCCACCAGATGGGAAGGAGCCTTTGTTTTCCATCTCATCTGGAGGACAATATCTGTTACACTGCAGTCCCTAGTCACGCAATAAAGTGGCAAGATTTAGGTCTGATCCCAGTACCCAGACTTTTTCCCTTCTCCTCACTTTTGAGGCATGATGTCTCTGGTCATGTTTCTCTGATGGTTCTGCAAATAAAGACTCATTGTTTCCAGAATAAATGTTTCAGGTTGCCACTTCCTTAAGTGCTCTCCTCTGGCCCCCCTCACCACCCCAGTAGTGTCTGTTAACCAGAAGTGCTCTGCTAATCCAATATTCCACCATCAGTCCCTGAAAGTTGCAGTTAATTGACAGAACCCAAAGCCCCATGGGTATCCCTGGTAAAAGGGCCTATTTACTTTAGGAACCTCCCATGAGTCATTTATCAAACCCATAAAGACTCGTTGTCAAGTGGACAGGGTCAGGTTGTCCTTTGTGATTTTTAAATTGATTTTTTGAATACATGTGTCAGAGGGGTAGCCGTGTTAGTCTGAATCTGCAAAAACAATGAGAAAGTGCCACAGGACTTCTCGTTGTTTTTTAAATACCTGGTTACTTTAGGACTTTGAAACTGAATATTTCTCCGATTAAAATTTTTCTCCTCTGCATATCTATTTTTTAATCCTAGGTCCCTGGACTGGACTGAGCACGCTGTTATTGTTCTTGCATGGTTCTTGAGCACTGTGGTCTTTTTTTAAAAGGGAAAATGAGTCCCCTGAATAATTTGTTTTAAAAACAATACATTTACAGAATGAATGATGATAACTTTCTAACAGGATATAAGAAATATGTTTCTCTCCATAAGTCTTCTGACATTAACATTGCTCCTTCAAGCAGAGAATTGTTTGTCCTTCATACCATTTTAAGTGCCTTTGTCACAACCAACATTTACAGTTCAGAATATCAGCACTTGAAAATAAGTTTGTGATGATTAATTTCCTGTCCACCTCAGTCATTATCCATCTATCTCTCCCCCATATCATCCGTGCTACACAAATGCAAGTTTGCTGTACATAATAACTCTTGCCTCATCCTGTTGCCATTTGCAATCGTTTAATTTTAAGCAGTGGAAGCAGATGAAAAGTGAAAGCAAAAGTGCAGCAATCCCTCCACTGGAGGTGTATGTGTGTTGCTGTCGAAATCTCAGCTCTTCCCCTGCCAAACACAGGTGATGCCCTTGGACAGGAAGGACTGGTTTGTTTTTCTACTTGACTTCATCATTTCAAAACAAATATTCCCAATAAGTTATTTATGCTCTCCTGAACCTTATTCAAAGGGACACTTGTCAACTTAAATATTTAACACAACTGTTTCCCTTCTCTATGTTGTATTATCATTGTATGTGATTGAAACGAAAAGTGTTTCACACTTCCCTGCCATCACAGTTGATGCAGTTTGCTTACTGTCTGTTGCACTTCATTCACCTTGGACAGTGAAAGCAGTTAGGTTGACTTTCCTTGAGTGTATCAGTTTTGCTTTCCATCCCCTGTACACTAGGCCTATGCTGGTTTTGTTTGGGTCTTCAGTGTTGAAGGAAAGTGTTGCATTTTTAAGTGATGTATTGATTTATTTAACTTAGTTTAGGAAAAAACCCGTAAATATTTCTTTTTGTTTTAAGGGCATGGTGCTATGACATGCTGAGCATCAATGGGAATGGAGGGCCCTCAGCACCATGCAAGATTGTGCCCTAGGATTCTGTACCATTTAGACAAACACACTTTTACCAAGATCTCCATTGTAGACTCAAAATTGGCTAGGTCCCTTTTTCTTTCTAATGGGTTCTAGACAGGGCACATGCTCAGTCCCTATGTGTGCATCTACACAGCAGCGTTATTTCAGACTAACTGACATTATTCCGAAATAATGTATTACGTGTCTACACAGCAATCCTTGTTATTTGGAAATAAATTTGAAATAATGGGCTTCTTATACCGACTTCTGTAAACTTTATTGTATGAGGAGTAAGGAAAGTTGGAGGAAGAGTGCTCTGTTTTGAAATAAGTGCTGTGTAGATGTGCCCAAATTTAAAATAAGCTATTTCGACTTAAGCTACACAATTAGTGTAGCTTAAGTTGCATAGCTTATTTTGAGTTCAGCTCTGCTGTGTAGACGTATCCTATTTGGGCAAAACTCTCATTGATGTCTATGGGAGTTTTGCCCAAGTAAAGACTGCAAGATTGCACCTAATAATAATGAAAGACTATGCAGGGCCCTGCCTCCGTCCAGAGGTGATTTGAACCTGAAGTCACTCTAGTCTAGCACTGAGAGTTATCTTTTTGACAGTTGTTTGTGTTAGTTGTGTTACTTGCTTGTGTTACGTCAGATACACAAGCCTCCCATCCTGTTCTCATCAGGCTGAGTGTGCTGACCCTCCCTTCAGCATTCCCAGGCCCCTGCTGAGCCATAGAATTGAACAATGGTGGTCGTGTCACAATGCAGAGAGCTGGCCACTAGGCCATGGCAGTGACGGGTGCATGGCCTCTGAGCAGGAGGCCCCGGCAGTAAAGTTGTGGAGCAGTTTCCCACCCATGCCCTCTTCCCATGCCTCCCCTGACAGGCTGCATATGCTCTTCCAGCTGAAATTCATAACCCTCGCCTGATGAGACATGGCACTGATGGGCTCTTGTGATTCAGGCCTGAGTCGTAGGTGTCTTTTCCAATTAAGCCATTCCATTCACTGCTCAGGCCTGTGCCTGCCCTGAGCACTCGGGATTGCCATGGCAACCAGGAGCGCCAGCATTTATTAATCATCCGGGTGGCCTTTGGGTTGGCATGGCAACATAGACAAGAATAGAAACACAGGAGTGGGAAAGTGGCAGAGGAGCTGCCAGGCAATGGCACATGTCAGGCAGAACTGGGCCCCACTGACCCGGTGCCGCTGGGAGAATTGTGGCCTTCACTTCAGGTCTGGCACTTTCTTTTGGCTTCTGAAACAGCTTTACTTTAAGGTAAGAAAACAGCTCTGCACACAGGAGTGATTCTGGGATCCCTGCCTGCTGCAGGGAGGGGCTCAGTTGGTACTGGAGGATGCTACAAAGAGAAACCCAGAATTAGGACATAAGTGAGGACTTAGATGCATCAACACTAACGTGTGGACCAGGAGTGAACTGGAAGGAGATGCCGTGATTTTTAATTGAAGAGTCTCTGCAGATCTCAACAGGGAACAAGCACTTTGATGATTTGCATTGTTACTGACAGCTGCTTTCAAGAGTGGCAAACTGATTTAAGTTGCACATAAATATATACCACCCCCCGAGCCTGTATGGTTTCCTTCATCACCACCACACACACCACCAACAGCCCCATTTAGCCCTGCTGTAAACAGGTATAACTAATCTGAAGCCAGTGGCATCGGACTCACTCATAACAAATCCACATTTGTCCCCGAATTTCCATACCACTCATTGGTTCTTCTTTGCCATGAAGTAGGGTAAGATGCTCTCAAATGTTCCTTATGGCAGGGGGAGTTGCTGGCTCTGGTGGAGGATGCCTTTTCCAGGCAGACAGATGGACAGCAGGCCCAGTGGCTGATCTCTCTGAGCAAACCCAATGAGAATGACAAGCACCTGCTAATGACGTTGGCAGGGGAGCAGGGTAAGTGTCCGTAGTAAAGCCGTGTGGTGTTGCTAGTGGTGGGAAGGGATGTATCTGGCTTCGGAATTGCTTTCCAGTGGAGATTTCCAGTGATGCTGGAAACAGCATTCTCTGCCCTGTTAACCCCAATTTTTCTCCTGCATATAGTGACATATCCCTCCTGCTAAACAGTACAATGCTGCCACTGTTTGCTGTACCTGGTGATTGTAGGCTTTCCTGTGTGTACATATAGGCTACGTCTACACTGTAAGGTTTTTGCGCAAAAACCTGTGGCGCGTCCACACCTCAAATGCGCTTTTGTGCAAGTGAAATGGCAGAACAGAGGGCTTTTGCCTGTGTAGGTTAACCTCCTTCTACAAGGCATAACTCCCTTTTGTGCTACAGCGATTGCACAGAAAGTCAAGTGCGGTCGCTCCGGAGGGGTTTCTTGTGCAAGAAAACCCTATGGGAAAAAGCACAGGTGTGAAAAGCACATTACTTTTGCGATGCGCCTTGAGGTATGGATGTGCTCTTGCGCATGAAGTTTTTGCACAAAAACTCTTGCGCAAAAGGCTTCTTGCGCAAGAAGCCTGCAGTGTAGACGTAGTCATAGAGTATAAGCCTCTTTCCCACCCACACCATATTGCCCACTATGTACATTTCTGCTGTGGTTTTCTCCTTTGCCAACTACGTCAGATTCCAGGTTCTCCTGCAGATCTTCAAGGTTCCACAAAGCTCTGCTGTCATCTTTCTCCTCCCTTCACTTCCACAGTGCCTCCAGCTTCACCACCCCTTTCCTTTTTTATCCTTGCACATATTCATCTTTGCATTTTTTGCCTGCTCACCTCTGTGTGTCTCTCCCTCTTCTGCTGCAGAAGGTGAAATTGTCTGTACTTTGTACAGATCTGGAGTGTGCCAGTGCTGCCTAGTGAGGTTATAAGAACTATTGTAGGCCCATTGAAAAGCAGTTCCAATTGGAACGCTCTGATCAGTTGTGGCTGTCTCTGTTCTGTACTGCTTCTGCTGTCTGTTTAGGGTATAAGCCCTATAGGGAAGGCCCTATAACCATGTTATTTGATACCGGGCAAGTAAAAAATAATATTGTAAAATACACCACAGTTGTTGGGAAATAATGTTAACATTTAAGAAGTATTTTCCACCTACTTATTTAAAATCATGCATTTCTCCCAGCACTTTGGACCTTGCCATGTACCATTAAAAAGGTTCTTTTGTAAGCACGTAGCCCTAATGTAAACCTTTCTTTTTATTGGAGGGGATCCCCTTGGAGATGAGAAGCTGGGCTGTGTAATGCTAGCATCACAGCCAGGCTGGGCAGCTGTCAGTAATGAAATTCTGTGCCCTGTTAGGAGCCCTGGAATCATCAAGGACTGAAGCATTTTCTGCTGTGAAGAATGAGGCTCTTGTTAGCTTCCCTCTCTGTTGCTGGACCAAACAGGAGAGGCACATGGAGAGGGAGCAATAGCCCTTGGCCTCTAAATCCTACTGACAAGTCATGGGTTTATGGCTTGCCAGATTGGAGAGTATCTGGTGAGCTGTGTGGGAAGGAAGCTAATGGTGGGGACTCTCAGTGGTGGTTAGTCACTCCTCAGTAGGGAGATTGTTGCAGATTTCTTTCTGCCAGGAACAAAGTTGTTGAAATATGCCTGCTGACAGTCTATTGTGTTCTGCCTGGCAGCCAGCCTTGCTAGAAGTCTGCAGAACACAACACATGTCCTTAAGGATGCTTCAGGTCAGAAGAGAGTTGCGTTGGCAGAGCTGTGTGGGCGCTCAGGAGTAATTGTGAGTGCTGTAAGTCAGGGCTGAAATGCATTGTTGGTGCTATGTGTGAGTAGCACAGTGTCTAGCCCCATAATTTCTCAATTCCAGTTATTCCACACTTTTAGCATCACTTGCATGCACTCAGAATTCCTGAACAAATGTTACTTTTGCCTCATAAAATAGTTTGTAAAGTAGTAAAAGGTGTGTCCCCTTCTCCACATCCTACCCTGGAATTCCCAGAGAATACTGATGTGTGGAATGAGGGAGCCAAAGCAGAGCATATAGGGCTGACCACTTCTGTCTGGTTCTCTTCTTCTCACCAGGTGTTGTCCCTACAAAAGATGTCCTGATGGCATTGGGGTATGTTCAAAGGAGCTTAGCGGAGGTAAGAACCTGTCTGTCTAACCTATAGGCTGAAGGTAGTCAGTGCAATTAAAAGGAATCATGCTTCAGTCTGAGTTGGCTCTGAATCTTTCATAAGCAAATTGGAAAAATCCTCTTTTCCCTCCCTGGTGACTACAGAGTGAGCAGATGTTAGTTCCCATGAAGAGTGACTAACTAAGCCAGGAGTCATCTGCTGACTCTGGAAAGCTTCCTTGAAGTTCCTGTCAACAGTCTGGAGATCATGCCTAGACCATTTCCTTCCCTGCTCCCCACACCAACATCTGCCAAGATAAGTAGTAGATTTTGTCTGTGGAATTCTTTATGGAAAGATGATGCCTGAGGTCTATGCACCTCACTGCGTTGTCCACTTAGAGCTCTTCTTGCCAGTAGTTATTCAGCTTCTCCTAGATAGTCCAGGCAAGTTCCTGCATTGGGCAGAATGCCCTCCAGGGTTACTAGACCCTCTGTTTCCTAAGTTATATCTGGCTGTCTTTGGATTCCTTGTGTTACTGGGACCATGTGCAGAGTTGAAGTTTAGATTTGCTCCAGAGAGGGGGACACCAGATGAATGGAGATGTCTATGTCTCATTCTCTTCCCTCCCCCCAGTGTTCAGGTTTGCATTTCAGTCCCCTTCGACGTCACAGCCTTCAGTACTCCACTTCTCTCATTGATGGCACTATTCAAATTCCATAGCACAAACCTTTTTTATGCTGCGGTCTGGAAGCTCATTCAAAAACTTTTGACGGATCGGTATAGAAACGTCTGCATATTCATTATGGTGATTAATTTATTTGCATATTTGCCTATTCATTACAGTAATTAATTGTAAGCGGTCACTTGTTATATGTACGCAATGGGAAAGGAAGAAGGGGGCAAGAAGCACGAACAAAAGAGGGGACCAAGCCAAGGAGAGGATGGGCTGAAAGTACTGGTGCGCTGACTCCAGCTAGGAGGAATTCTCCTGTCTTGCCCTCTCTCCCCACCCCACCTGCCTGGGTAGTGGTGGCCCCAGCATAACTTTGGCTGCCCCAAGCCAGCCCCCAGGCCTAGTGTGGCCGGACAGCAGCAGGTCTCTGGGGTTATGTCTACACTACACCCCTAGTTCGAACTAGGGGGGGTAATGTAGTCATACGGAGTTGCAAATGAAGCCCGGGATTTGAATTTCCCGGGCTTCATTTGCATAAAGCCGGCCGGCGCCAATTTTAAATGCCGGCTAGGTCGGACCCCGTGCCGCGCGGCTACACACGGCACGGACTAGCTAGAAAAGAGGAGACTGAGGGGGGATAGGATAGAGGTCTATAAAAGCATGAGTGGGGTGGAGAGGGTGCATCAAGAAAAGTTCTTCATTAGTTCCCATAAAGAAGGACTAGAGGACACCAAAGGAAAGGAATGGGTAGCAGGCTTCAAACTAGTAACAGAAAGTTGTTCTTCACAAAGCAAAGAGTCAACCTGTGGAACTCCTTGCTGCAGGAGGCTGTGAAGGCTAGAACTAGAACAGAGTTTAAAGAGAAGTGAGATAAAGTGATGGAGGTTGGGTCCATGGAGTGGTATTAGCCAGGGGGTAGGAGTGGTGTCCCTGCCCACAGTTTGTGGAAGGCTGGAGAGGGATGGCACGAGACAAATGGCTTGGTCACTGTCTTCGGTCCATCCCCTCCAGGGGCCCTAGGGTTGGCCGCTGTCGGCAGACAGGCCACTCGGCTAGATGGACCTTTGGTCTGACCCAGTACGGCCATTGTAAGCTCAGGGCTCAGGGTCGGGGGTCTCACTGGACCCCCTTGAATCTCTTGCACACCTGCTCCTGGGTGGCCAGGCTGGCAGCTCTCCTGCCCAAG